ATGGACCAGCTCAACGTTATTACACTTCAACTAAAGTTGTAGAAAAGCTTTTATCTTTTGAGCCTACAAAAGATTGATTTTCTGCTTCAACAGAATGGGGTACCGGAGAAAATGAGTGATTGTTAGAGGAGTTATCATCAAGAGCTGTTTTAAGTATTAGTTGTTCATGATGCATGTGGTTTAGTAAATTTATGCTGGTTCTTTTTTCATTATGGTAATTGGAGATGGTTGTTTTACATTGAAATAATCACTGAATCAATGTTAGACAACCATTAGAAACCTGGAAGAACTGGACAGCCATCCCATCCTGCTATAGGATTCGTCAGTAAGGCGCATCTACGACCCCTGCTACTTGTAGGATTTGAGCCCAGGACGTAACCAGTGGAGTTCAATCCTGTCGGATGTAGGCGGAAACTATTGAAGACAATGGATGAGGTTTTGTAAAATCCTTAGATTGGTCAAAGTTAGATATTAACACTGTAGGATACCGGCTATATGTTCGCGTGCAAGAATGAAGATTATGGGTTATAATCCTGTGAGTAATAGGATTCGCGGTTGCGCACTGCTAATGAGACTAATATCAGGAAGAAAAGGCTGTCCAGTTGTTCCAGGTTTCTAATGATGGTCTAAAATTGATTAATTTTTTATGATTTCACTATTACTCTGGTTTATTAAAAAGTTCACTTTTCTTTGGTTGCTTCAAGTCGAATTTTCTTTTGGAAATAATACATTACCTTACAAGTATATTTCAAAGAGAATTTAAATGATAAAAAACTTGATAGTTTTTGCATGTCATTAATTATCATATAAGGCAATTTTTCGTTACATTTTTTTAGAAATATAGTTGACCATGTTTTATATATTTACAATTGTGTATTTCTTCATTTCACTAAAATGAACTGTATGGAAAATGTACTAAACATGAAGTTTCATAGGCATTATATTCTACTATTGTACAGATTTTCAGGTTATTCAAGTTCAAGTAGTGTTAGGTAATTTTTTTTAAAGAAAGATTGTCATTCAGGTCAAACTGTCTTTCCCAGTTGTACAAGCAATCATGTTATCTGTTAATGCCGAACACATTTATCAGCTTCACACTAAGATTTAGTTTGATTTTACAACTAAAAATAAATTTGTGAACACAAAAATAGAACAAGAATTCACATGATAAAGATCAAAGAAAGTGTAAATTCTAAACCAGTAATCACTGAATATATGCCTATTTTGTAGAGGTAGTGCACTTAGTAGAATGCTAGCACTAAAATTACGTAGAGTAGTTCAGAGGACTTATCTCGCAAAAATCTGTGACTAATGTTTTTTACATTTTAGACGATGATATTGAGATTAAATGATAAATTACCTGAACTAGTTATTGATTTTTGTATCAATCGGTTCAGTTGCTCCTGTGGAGCAAGTTACATTCACAGATGTTTAGGGGATGTACTTCTGTACACATGGGCATAATACATTCCAACTATTCATTTTCAATATCAGATGACTTTATCAAACTAATGCATGTAAAGACTTGTTTATTGTGTCTCCGTAAGTTAAATTATTTTTTTAAATTTAAATTTTACTGCTATTATTATTCTTTTAACTAAGTGTTAGTATAAATATCATTACTAGTCATCACTAGTCATGCCATTCTATTTATTATTCATGTTTATCTCCATAAACCCGAATAAACAGCTAATTTTTGAAGACTATACGCCTGAATTACAATCTGAAAGACATCATAAAATTCCTTTAGAAATTTTTCTTCATGAATATCGGATTCATGGGAAATACCGCAGTGGAAATTTGGAAGAATCGTTTGATCTAGCCGCCCATTATTTCACGGATGTGTCAAGGAAAAATTTTCGCATTGGTTCACTTGTTCTTGTGCAGCCGGTTACATAGGTCATATAGAGTGGGCACTTTCCTAAAGTATTTGCAAACATTATCCTATGTGGCTTTCAAAAAGGTAAGTATATGTATGTCAAGACTTCAATATAAGAACATCTTATAAACTTCAGTTAAATGGTCACATCTGATAAGTCATTTTAAATTATTCATACCACCACAAAAAAGTGGTTCGAATGAAGTACAAATCAATATCTTATGTACTGCATAAACACGATTGTATAACTTGAGTTAATGAGATTGTTGAAACAGGAAATTTTCTTCGTTAAATTGTCTTTAACTTGTTTTCAGTTTGAACGTTTAAACTTTACATTTTTTTAGTAGGTCAGTTATTTCTCCATCAATCGATATTGTCTATCAAAGTACTATTGATTGATAATTGGTCTCACGAAAACAAGTTAATATTCCGTAAAGTATTCATGTCTGAATGGTCATTCATGCCCGCCTATATTTCCGTCTGATTGTGCATAGAAGTTAAACATTTTTTTATTATCCGAGCTAATAGTTTTATAATGAAGTATCTATCTATCAACATTATTTGACTGCAAAATGAATTAAGTTGAATGTACTGACTGCTTTAAATGGTAAATATGCATTTGAGAAACATTTCAATAAATATTTATCTGGTGTTTGTGACAATAATATGTGAAATTTTATACAATCATTTCAACGAAATTGTCAGTGAATATTACTCAATCCAACTTATCGATTTTTGAGTTTTAGATAATTACTGACTTATGTGATACACTTTTGATATCCATCTTCAAATGACCTTACGTACTTACTTATTCATGTATTACTGTTAATCGTTATGACCCTATATTATTTTTCACTTTTCGATACCTACTACTTTCAGTTATAAACAGTTAAGAATTAAAAACTACAAAATGAATCAAACTCACATTATTGCTTTGCCTCACATAGTGTTCTTGTTGGGGAAGTTAGATCCCCAGAACTCGCTTAATAAATGCCTTATTTTGCATTTCACGTTCGCGAGCATGGGCTGATCAGTTGACCTTGAGATTTCATTTCCCACCAGGAAAATCCTTGGCTGTGGTTGGCTTCTGTATATTTTAGTGTGCTATTTTCGTAACTGTCCCAAGGAGGTTTCTGTGATGTATAAATAAAAGAGAGTTGTGTGCTTGATTGCACTGCGCTTGCTGGGTGTTTGTAGAATATTTTTTCTACGCTATATCAAGTCAGTCAGAGTCAGATGCAACGTAGAACTTCGTACGTAAGTACATCAGTTCATGTCGCCATACCACATCAGCACAGAGATGTAATTGTCAGTTCAAATCCAATAGTAGAAGAGGTAGTAAAGGTATGAGAAGTAATCGGAGAGGTTAGGATTAGAAGATATTATTCAACAAGTATGATTCAGTGAGAAAAGTTTACAGAGTTGAAGAAACCAGAAGATTAGGATTTGAGAGAACACAAAGAATAGATGCACTGGCGCCATTGCGAACGATTTTGAGTCATGTCATTCAAGGTCTCTAACCATCGATTATTATCATCTCGCGGACCCCAACCAGGTAGTCGACAATTACCAACATGGCTCAGTCCACTCGTCAATGACTTCATGGATTTCTGCCATGTTTTGGTTTGGCCGCCACTAGCTTTCTTCCAACCTACTCCTACACAACAAAACAAAGCTCGACGAGGCATTCGGTGGTTAGCATACGCAACACATGTCCCAACCACTTCAACTGATTAAGTTTCATTACTTCATCTATTGATCTTCCATTCTTACCTAACACGCGTTTCCTAATAACAGCGTTGCTCACTCGGGTGTCCCACGGTATACGAGCAATGCCTCGAAGATACCTATGATCGAAAACCAGTAACCTGAGAATATCTTCTACTCTCACTGGCCATGTTTCACAGCCATAAAGTAAGACGGAGCGAACTGCTGAGCAGTACACTCGTCCTTTAGTCATCAGACGGATATCTCGCCTGCGCCATATCAAGACTTCTCTTAAGTTATTTCGGATCATGGTAGCCTACCTGGACGCTGGTTCATTGTCTCGTCCTAGTTTATCAACTGAAGTGAATCCGTCATAGTTTCATGCATACCTAGTGACGAACCTAACAGTTCTGGTTTTGTTTAAATGTGTACAATGTTCAATTATTGACATTTAACTAATTTCAACTGAACAAAATCCCTTTGTTTTCAAAGTTATTGACTTTTAAAAGCAATTAAAAAGATCCTTGTAAAATTTGGCCAGAAAAAAAATTAAAATTTCTACTTCATCATCAATGACGATCAGTTATTATTATTATTATTATTATTATTATTATTAATATTAACGATATTGAATAAAACAGTAATTGACTTATACGAAACGGAAGATTGTGTGTTTTTTACGGTTGTTCAAATTATCTCATCCTATATAATCATATTGGAATAGTAATAAAAAGTACTACTACTAGTAATAATAATAATAATAATAATAATAATAATAATAATGATAATTATAATAATAATCCTATTCATTGTTCAATTGAATTTTGAACATTTCCTGTTAGATTATCTAATCTAATCTGCTCTAATCTAATCGTAATCAAATTTATTTCATTTCATTTTTTGTTTTATACGAAAAACAAAACACAAATTGAACTAAAATACATTCGATAATAATAAGTGAATAATTTATACATGGGTTTAGGAAAAATAACATTTTTTTGTTTGTTTGAGAATTCTTAACTAGTTATAATAATATACTACTTTTTTTGTACAATCTCTATTAACATATAAATGAAATAGTTTGATAAATTAACAAGGTATGTTATTGATATGTTTTTGAAACTGTAAAATTTAAATTCATTGAACTGGTTGATTGACATAAATTTCAGAATAACTGGGTGATACATAGAAAAAGAAAATTTCCCTATGTGCAGATAAAAGTTTTGTGAGTTAATTATTTCAGTCTATTGAAATGCATTCAAATAATATGGGCAAACTGTCAATGTAATCTGGAAGCACAGAACAACCATTCTGTCCTGCCTGGTATGCGACTCGCCAGAAGTATGCATCCATGACCCAGTGAGTGGAGATCAAGCCCAGGATCTCCGGTTTCGTAGAGAACGCTTCCACGGCCCTATTCAGGGCCACTGAACCCGGCTTGTCCGGTTTGATCAATGCCTCCGTATGCTCCGTTATCGAATCCACCTGGACCATCGTATCCACCTTGACCGCCGTAACCTCCGTCCACTGAACTACTATAACCGCCTGGTGGACCCATAGAAGTATTACAACCGGCTGGGGGAGGAACCGGTGTCAGTCCTGAGGAGCCCATCATCCCTCGTTGACCTTGCGCAAGAGGTGCATTTCCACCCATCATCCCACCGCCCATAAGACCCACTCCTCCACCCATTGGGCCCATTCCACCACCCATTGGCCCCATGTCACCACCACCCATCCTATACGGACCACCCATGTTATAACCCATTGGCGGCATGCATCCAGTCACATCAAGGAAACGACTACTTACTACTACAAGAGTCAGTCAGTCAGTCAGTTACAACGTACATGAGTACATAAGTTCAGGTTGCCGTACCGCGTCAGCACAGAGACCTAACTGTCAGTTCAAATCCTTCAGTGGTATAGATATAGAAGTATAAGAAGAAATGGAGAAGATTAGGGTTCGAAGATATGATTTGAGAATTTTCACTCAGTGAGATAAATTAAGAACGCGAAAGATAAAGATGATGAGAAATTCAGAAGGCTATAATTTGAGAGAACACAAAGAGTGGATGCACTTGCGCCACTGCAAACGATTCTGAGCCATGTCATTCAAGGTATCTAACCATCGGTTACTATCGTCTCGCGGACCCCAACTAGTTAGCCTACGTCTATCAACATGACTCAGTCCACTTATCAGTGACTTCATGGATTTGTGCCATGTTTTGGTTTGGCCGCCCCTATCTTTCGTGCAAGCTATTCCTATATCGCAAAATATCGCTCGTCGCGGCAGTCGGTGGTTAGGCATACGTAACACATGTCCCAACCACCACAACTGATGGAGTTTCACCACACTACTGCTATTTACGAAACTGAGGGGTCAGAAAGTGATTTCCTAATGATTTAACCCGGTTGGTGATTGTGGAGAATCCATCTAGGGTACATGAAAAACTCTGATTCCAAACTAATGATGTACATGGTCTCCACCATCCTGAGGGAATGAATGACAATTAGCCTAAAATGTAAGAAAAGCTTAGGCAATATAAGTCAGTTTTATTATGTATTCCTACTATTATTATTATTATCTGTGTGTTTAATATGTTCATACTTTTGACTTAACTGAACTGTGAATAATCTTTAGAATATATTATTAACTAGATTAAAAATCTATTATTCCTCTACATCTATTGATGAATGATGGTGTGTGTTAGTGTAAATACATATGTTCAACCAAGTATTGAAATTCTTATCTTACATTTTCAACTTTTCCAAATCACCTACAGAACATGTTGCCGACCGAAAAAAATTTACTTCATCTAACTTTTGTTACAGTTTCAATGAAGCAGAACATCTCATAGAGCGCTGTTTAAGAGATTAAATCAACTGAAAATATATAAGAACATAGAAAAACGTCATGAATAATGTTCTTGAAGAGTAATGTGTAAGGTGATAGAGGTAAAAAAATTCAGTAATGAGAAATTCCCATGTTCTGAACAAAAGAATTGACAATTTACTTTTAAAACTATTTACAAGTGAAATTCCATTGTGTATCATGTTAATTTTCACTTCACTGTAGAATTTTATTCTCTTACACGTTTAAACAAATCAACACAAATGAAAGTTTTTAAAACTTGGAAAAATAAATTCATTCCTTCTTAAAGAGAGTGTAGGATAAAGTGAACAGCTTGGATATGATTAGATGATTTGGACGTCACAGAGGGGAATGCTAGTGAAGACAGCCAGTATAGTAGCAGCCTCTGCAGTAGTTGTTATCAGTGTACATGAGAGAAACAACATGCATCAACGAAATCACACTATGGAAAAGTATTGGAAGGTGTAGAGACTTTTTCATATCTGGGCATCGTAACTGGTGAACAACGTGGATCTAATGCAGATTTCAAGGCTCACATTGGCAAGGCAAGGGCGAAATTTCTATAAGTGAAGAATATCTGAAACTCGAAACAGCTATCGACAAACACCAAAGTCAGATTCTTCAAAGCAAGTATCGAAATGGTACAAGTATATGGAGTGAAAGCTTGAAGAATTACGAAAGGCACTATCCGAAACATACTGCTGTTTCTCGACAGTTGCCTGGACAAGATCCTGCGGATCCTTTGGTCAGACACTATCAGCAATAACCTATAAGGGAGAGAAAAAATCAGAGGCAAGCTGACGAAAAAATAAAGAAAAATCTATTGCTGTGGGACAAACATTGTAGAAAGTACCCGAATGCATCACGAGGCAAGCTCTGATTCGGAATCTTTAAGGTCACATTAAAAGAAGTAGATCAAAGACCACACTGTTCCAAGAATTGGAGTTGAATATCAGAAACAGAACCTCGGACAGGGTTGGTTTTCGCTTTCTGGTTAGTGGCTTATTCACTGAGATGAACAACAGAGCTAAGTAAGTAAGTAATAATCGCACCTTATTCAGATATTTGTTTCACAAAAATATTTATGTTAGATCAACAGAAATTCTCATTTTGTCGTTACAATGTATCTATTTATGTTTGAGACTGCGACTGATCAGTACTTTTGGTAAATATTCATCCTATGTGGATCGTCTCGAAGTTGCCATTAATACTGAAAAAATCTGCGTCCAACTGATGAGTCCGAAATAGGACGAAACCAGAGTTCTAGATTGTTTTTTTAGCCATTAATGAATAATAAGAATAGTTAAAAATTTCTTTAAAAGGCTGTTACAAATTACTTGTTTAAAGAAACATTGATTTATTCTTTTTGTGCTCAGTATTTGGAATTGTTGCGAATTCTTCATGAAATCAAACCTTAAGGAGTAAATATAAATAAATCTTGCACTACAGTTTTGTGGAGATTGTTGTTTTCACAGGGAAATCATGAAGGAATCATTGTCAGACAACCTTTAGATAACTGAAAGCACTGGACAGCGGTTTCCTTCTGGTATAGGACTCAGTAGCAGTTCGCATCCAGAGTTCACACGCAAGACCTAAGGTTCTGGGAATCAATCCTACAAGTAGCAAGAATCATGGGTGCGCATGGCTGATGAATCTTATATTAGGACAAAACGGCCGTCCAGTACTTGTAGGTTTCTAGTGATGGTCTAACAATCATTCATTCATGATTTTAATTTGACAAATCAATCCACTTTATTCGGTTCCTAAATTTGTCCACACTAAATTGAAGTGCTTGAGAAATTCATTTGGATTGTCAATGATAAGTCTACTGCTACTATCGCTGGAACAATTTTAAATATCTGACTAATAGTTCTGTTAAGTTTATTTTTTTACTTGAGGTTGTTATTTGAAATATCCTGTCAGTTGTGTACAATTTTTACTGTAATATATAATTATCCAAATCATTGCAAAACTCATATCAAGGCCATTTTTTGTTATCTCTAGACAGATTTAATTGGATTCAGTAGAAATGTTACATTAAACCTTGAATAACAAACAACCATTTATGAGTAAACAAAAAAGGCACGAAACAGTCATTGGTTTTTTTTACTATCAGCAATACTAGAAAATCATTTTAAATATTCAATATCAGTTAACTGATGATAAGCATTTGTTGATTCTAAAGTTTGAATATATATATATATAATTTGTATTAAAGAATAATTTTGCCACACAATCATGATATCATATGAAAAACCACAATCTGCATATTTACTATATGTAGTGAATATCATAAAATGTGCTCACTAGTGACGAGCTTCGTGAGGAAATTCTCGGAGTTCTGTTGAGAAGTCGTAACCAGTGGAGTTCAACCCTATCAGGTTTAGGCAGATACCTACCGCAAGACATTGGGTGAGATTGTGCAGTAACTAAGATTGATCAAAGTTAGATACTGTCACCGATGGTTGTCAGCTTGGTGGTCAAATGGACAAGTGTTCGTGCGCGAGACCGAAGCTCCTACGTTCGACTCCTGAGAGCAAGGGGTGCTCACTACTGATGAGTTCCATACTAGGACGAAACAGCGGTTCAGTGGCTGCAGGTTTCTAATGATGGTTTAACAATGATCGACTCATAGTGCTAAATGAAAAGCAACAGTCTCCATTTCTGTATCATGGAAATCAACTGTTGTTTTGACGTTTTAGCAGCGTAATAACAAGAGACCGTTATAAATTGAATATTGATTTTTCAGGCCTATCACTGAGAAACTTACTTTTAATTGACTGGATTGAGATTCAATGAGTTACATTATCAGCTTCCCCTGAGACATGGCTATGATATTTTTTTACTTAGATATAACTGAAATTTATTCACAGTTAGTCACTCCTAATTTCCACATTTCTTAAATGTATAGTAAATTTAAACCATGTCTCGAAGAAATGCTCTGTCGACCAAGGCTTTCATATCTGCATCAGATCCACCTTGCTTAATAATGATGCTCTCCGAGTATGTAAAGGCTTCCCTATCTTCCAAGGCTTCTTTGTGAAGTTTGATGTGGTCGGTGCACGATGCAATGTATCATGGGGTTCTAGCATTTTTCCTTTGTATATGTTGAGACCTACTGCCGCCACAGTGATCGTCATCTCCTGTATTTGTTGCTTTGTATGTGTGATCGAAGAGCTAGATCATCTGCGAATTCCAGATTGTCTAGCTTCATCCTGGCTGTCCAGTGTATTCCATGCTTCTCCCCAGATTTTGACATCTTCATGATCCGATCGACTTCTAGGAGAAAGATTATGAAATTAAAAGGATTATTTATTTGAAATTAAGTATAACTAGAGTTATTAACAAGTTATGCCTATCAATTTATATTTCTTTGCTTTCATTTAGTATAAACAAACTGGAGATTGTTTATAAAATGAAACAGTTTGTAATGTAACAGCCTTAACTTTCTACCAATTTCCTATGTGAAATAAAATGAATTACGTGTTAGATATATAAATCTATAAATCTATGCGTGGTTGACTATTGTTTCTATCAATTGAGGATACAGTAATTGTCTAAATAAATATGATCTAGGTTTGACTTCAAAAGAATTGTGGTTAACTGCACGCAGTCACTCTTTCAAGTTATACAATCCATGCACCCAAAAGTGATAGAGAACATGGGATTGATTATCATGATAGGTTTGTACTATTTTTTCATAAGGGGATACTATTGGTATCGTTTTAACTGCTATTTCTAACTAGTGATTGATCAATGTTTTTTAAAATGTTTTTTTCTAGTTGACCAAGTTGGTTGCAAACTTGCGAGAATCACAGCACAATTCACTTAGCCTCATGTATGCACTCAGACAACTGGTAATCTTCTATACTGTCTTTTCTAACTTGGCGTATATTTTGGACAGAATCTTATTTTTCCAACTTTGTGTGGTTTTCACTGCGTATGTAATTTATTCACCTATCTTTTATTGTTTATCAAACCAGGAATAAAACGAGTAGTGTTCCAGTTGATTCGTCTTCTCACTTTCTCTCGTCAACTTGTAAAGTGATAGAAACGTTTTCTTCCCTCTGTCTCAAGCCCGTTTAGTTACAGTGCAACTACGCACTGCTAGTCTCAAGGTTGAACTTGGTTGACTATTGTGTCAAGGCCTTTAACGAGGTCAAGAAAAAGTTCTCTCTTGTCCATTCGTGGGCAGAGAAGGTTCAAGAGTATAACACATTGTATTTCGAAAAGAAGTCTTATTTGATGTAAATCAACTCTGCCTAGATAATTCAAAGTCAATCTGTCAATAGGTTAGTTAGACTACAGTTTGTTTTAACAAAGTGATATTAACAGTTCACTATATGATTCGCTTATTTGTCACGTGAATCTCTGTTTTGACACATTTATTTTTATCAGTATTTACACTTAATATTTAAATAACAAACTAACTAAATTTAAATGATGCTTCTATTCTGACAATACTTACATAAGATGAACAACATTTGAATTCAAGGTTTCTTATTATTTGCCATGTAAATTGAGAAAAAATTGGAACGCGAACATTTCAGATAATAATTTAAACAAACTATTATTTTTATCAGTTCAGTTTCTTTCTACATCTCTGATAGAACAGTTCGAAATCTTAAATATTTATTTACTTATGCCAGTTATTCCTATAGAAGTATAAGCTACCGACCAGTATTCTCTAATCATCTCTCTCTTGAATAGCCTTTTCCAGTTCTACCCGATCTCTGTTTACTTTTTTACATGTCTGCCCCCAGTGCTTGGCGCCACGTGTTCCTTGGTCTACCACTTTTAATATGTATTTGAGGCTTCCATGTTAGGGCTTGCCTCATACTGCATTTAAATAATATCCGCATTGTGTATCCTATCCACCTCCCAAGCTGTTCACTAATTTCATTCTCAGCTGGTTTGTAGTACGTTAGTTCAAAATCACTAATATCTAAATATTTAAACATTTTGATAGAAGCACTCGGTTTTGCTTACACTCAATATCTGATACAAAGGAATTTAAACAGTGTTCATCAACCGTATAAAGAACGTGGATGTTTTTTACTACTTGCCATTAATCGGCAAAATACTTCTAGATCCTAGTACAAACTGAAACTTAAGCCAACGACTCTTTGTTGTAAACATTCATTTAGAATATAAGACAAAGGAGTAATTGTAAAATTGTATATTTTTATGTTGTCAATATTTGGATCTGAAATAATTATCTATTATTAATCTATACCAATTAAATTACATATTTTAAAAGACGTGACCAGTGGAGTTCAATCCTGTCGGGAGTAGGCAGTAACTATAAAACACCGTTGGATGCCGGCCCAGTGGTCCAGAGGTTAGGCGTTCGCGTACAATACCGAATATCCCGGGTTGAATCCTGCGAGGTGAAGGAGTCGTGGATGCGCACTGCTGATGAGTCCCATAATAGGACGAAACGGTCGTCTTTCAGTGTTTCCAAATTTCAAATGGTTGTCTAACAATGATTGATTAATGATTTCAAATGTATAAAAACACTAATCTCCGTAACTCTAATTGAGAATATAGTAAAGTTAAATAGTCTATTATATGACTTAAGAAAAGTTAATTACAACATTTTTAAAATGTGACATTTCCACAAGATTGAACAATTCAACAACAACTCTCTTCAGAATCATAGTAAATAAACATTTTTCCTCTTTGATCGAGAAACAAACACATTTAATTAGAGAAGAAATTAACACACATGTAAAACGCATGTCTGTTTATCTACAAAGTATAAGTACAATAACATGAATCTATTTGTTCTGTGTACAGACAGATAGATAGATAGATAGACAAACAGACAAGATTTTAAGCATTTGTGTTTGTTTGCTTGTTTGTTTGAAAAACTTACACACCGATCAGATATGCATTCAAATTTTGTTGCATAATCTTCAACTTTCACGCTCATCATAATTGTGAGCATAGTAACTGGATTTTGATTGATTAGCATAAAAATACATGTTGCTATAAATATATACGCGATACTCATCTACATATATATATACATACGCATTTCATAGTTGTGATTATCTATCATCTGCGCAAAATAACACCGAAACACCGAAACTAAGTGAATGTGTCAACCTACTTCTATAAAAATTACATCTTAAAAGTAATGACTAATTAATGCATATTCAGTACAAATTAACAAAAATTATTAAATTGAAAAGTTATTTATGTTTCATTATTAATTAATTCATACGCTTAAAGTTGTAGTGATCCTGTGCGTACGTAATATAATTGCGATTGAAAAATAAAAAAAATTGGACATTGAACAGAATTCATTTCAAAATTTTATCATGTACGGAGCAACTACGGGGTCTAAGAAAGGAAAAAGTAAGTGATGTTGTGTTGAAATATATGTTCTTGATATTATTTGTTTCAATAGGTTAAGTTTTTATATATGCTATATAAGTTTAGAAAAATGTTGTACTTTTCAATTATTGTGTGATTTTCTTTAGTTTTGGACTTATCTAGAATACAGTTTTTGGTTGTTCCATCATAGTACGGAACTTCTCTGTAGCTGATGTCTATGACTCCATCACAAGGACTCATAACTAGTACTTTAACGTCACTGGCGAATGTCTGACCTCTATACAACTGAGTTGGTGATCCTTTAATAAATTCGCGATACTGATCAATTATATTTCAAAGTCCGCGGTTGAACACCAACGGTCTTCGTCGAAAGATTTTTTATTGTACATTCAACTGAGATTGAAAAATTCATTTTAACTTATTGGATAAATGAACTGTTGATGTTACCTAGAATAAGCCAATTTAAGTTAAAGTATTTAGGATGGTAGTCAAAATTACCATGTCATAGGTTAAATTTTTTCACTAAGTATCGTTTGTCCTACATGATACTTGTAGTCGTAATTAACTTACGATAGTTGGGTTCTCTTAGAACAGAGGGAATATGAGTTTGTGTCCCATCAAAGACTTTGTCATTTGACTATTTTCCTTTTAGGACAGGCGTAGATATAATTCATTTGATATCTAGCGTCAACTGCATTTAAAATCCGAAAATTACATAAAGACTTGGGTTATTTGGTTCATAGAAAAAAAAATTGAATTTTAGAAAATTGAGAAAGTTTAATTTATTACTTTTTATACAAATGAATAAAACTGAGAGTAGGAAATCATGATTTACGGTAACCGCTAACGTCCAGTGGGCAAAAAGTGATACGGTAGTTTTAGATATCAGAATACAAAAGTAAATCGAATATATTTTTATTAATAGTAATTAGCTGATACAGTAACGCACAAAACAAATTTACACTTCCAGAACTCAAGGACTTATATCTCAAAACTCATTACAACTGTGACTTGGTTCTATCATGGTATCCGTCTAACTGAAATGTATACTTGTCTGTATCATTGATGTGATTCTTAGTTGAATGGAATATTATTGAAATGATGAGTTGATCATTGTTAGACCATCATTAAAAACTTGTAACCACTAGACGGACATTTCGTCCTGTTATGAAACTAATCAGCAGTGCTCATCGACGACTCGCGCTCCCAGGAATCGAACCCAGGTCTTTCGACCTCATGTGCGAATGCTGAACCACTAGACCATCGAGTCAGCATCCGATGGTGTTAATGTCAAACTTCGGTCAATCCACGTTCTTGCGAAATTTCAGTGATTGTCTTCGTTGGGCACAGCTGGTCTGACTTCAACACATAAGTATTTTTAGATCAGTAAAAGTATATGGTATCCATTATTCAAAAAAGGCTACGTTATATTTTTTTAATGTACACGTATTTAATAATCAGTGTCCAGTTTTAGCAACAATGGTTATCTCTAATAGCTTATTCAATATCACCGTAATCCGTCAGTTATCACAACTTGAATAATAGGCGTATAATATTGTTGAAAAATACAGGCTGGTATCTTGTAAAATCGTAGTTTTTATACTAGATGTTATACACTTACAAAGTATATTGCCAAAAAAACAGATAATTCATTTAAAATAATATAAAAATAACTACCGGGTTATGAGAATATTACTTTATATAAAGACGGAATATGTATTAATAAATTTGTGTTAGATTGATATAACTGTATGTTTAAACCTTCTGAAATTTCATAAGCTGGTCTCATATTTTCGATCGAAAATTCTAGTTTATGTCTTTAGATGTGCATAAGACTTGGCAGAAAATTTAAACCGACAAAAACTTATCACTCAAAAGTGGAACGGACAAATTTAGTTTTCTACACTGAAACTCCAGCGAAATAAAAACCTTGCCACCTTGATATATCAAATATTTAGGGGAATAACAGTGATATATATGTTAAAACAATTAGTCCCTTTTATAAATTTTGACAGAACAATGAGAAAGCGTAAATGATCTGAAAAATGTGATGTATTTGCGTTATATATTTCACATTTTTCCGATCACTTACGTCTTCTCACTGTTCTATCAAATTATACACATTAAAAAATCAAAAGTTTTAAGCCAATAACTTTCTAATGTTGCCGGTTTAAAGAGAACAGTATCGCATTTTCTTATTGTGTCAGCAATCTATTGGGTTTAAGGTGAGAACGGTTACGTTTTCAGTAAAAACAATATTCTAGAGCATCCCACATGCATTTGAGTTTGTTTACAGTTAATTTGGTCAAGCCCTTTTGATTAACTTATTTAGTAGACAGTATTATTTGTACAGTAATTACTTATGTATACCATTTTATATTTGTAATAAATTCAATAACCATGTCGACCACAGGATATTTGAAATAAGATAGTTGTTCTTTAACATCGGATCTATAAAGTGAATTGTGACAAGCGTTCACAATTTAGAATAACGGTGATCAGTATATGAAGTTTAGGAATATATTGAATATCGACCGACACAGAATTGGTGAGCCTGACGAGATTGTTAATATTATCAAAATATGTTGAACATAACTTTATGAAATCATTTACGTGTGATGAAAATGTAATAGTAATTATAAAACCCAGTAATACTTCGAATCGAGACAGAGTAAGTTGACTTTCGTATTTCATTGAAATTGTAGAAAGCTGCGTTCCGTTCGGTAGTCAGGCTCATCAATCTGTTGACACAATTGACTAAAGGGGATTCAGCGATTATTTAGTTATAATATGAGTGCATTAGGTCAGTGTTCTTCAAAAACGTTTATGAGTTAAGAGAAAGACTAGTCGTTATGTAAAGTAAATGACTGACATGCACTTGTAAATAGCCAACTTAACGGAGCAGCTAATAAACAGAGTTTCAAACTACATGAAAAAATGTAACTCGTAACGTTTGCATTTACTGGTTTATTATACTGTGGATTGTACAGTGGACTGATTAGGATACGGCTCATTTGGCTTTTATGTCATGACAAATGATCGCGGAAACTGTTGATGAAAACGTCATAGAAAACTATTCACATATTCAGTCAGTCAGTCAGTCGGTCAGTTGCAACGTAGAACTTCGTACGTATATACATAAGTTGATGTTGCCATACCACATTAGCACAGAGACGCAAATGTCAAATCAAATACCGTAGTGATAAAGATAGTAGAGGTATTAATGGTAATGAAGAAGACTAGGGTTAGAAGATATTATTCAAGAAGTATAATTCAGTGAGATAAGGTTAGAAAGACAAAGTTAGAGGTGCTGACGATTGCAGAAGATTAGGATTTGAGAGAGCTCAAAGAATGGATGCACTTGCGTCATTTCAAACGATTTTGAGCCATCGTTTGCACATATTCATATTCATTTGGTATGTTGTCAGTAAAACAAGAAATTAGTTTGTGAGTAAAATCAGATAATGTGAATTCAGCACTTCTTGTCAATCGGAGAAAAATTAGCTTCGATTTGAGCAAACCACACAACAAAGTATGACGTAATAATCTAAAAAAACGGCATAAAATCATAGAGGTCAGAATTAAACAAAACCACTTGCAGGTCAATTCCATGAGAATGTGCTGCTTGTCAGTAGTTCCACGAGAATTCACCGAGAGTTTGATTAGGAAAAAGTCAGAATTCAAGAAATAAGAGTTTCGATTAACTGCAAATAATCCATAGAAATTCATTGTAAATTCACTTCTGTCACCTGGATTATACTTTTTATATCAAGCTATTATAAGTGATACTTCACTGATGCACAGTATTTTTACTGCAAAGAATTGTAAGCTTTCGATAATTTAAAAAAACTGCATTACTTTAATAGACCAATAATTATGTTATCAAATTCTAGGCTTAATATACATTAAAAGTTCCACAGTTATTGTATGAAAAAAAATTTTCCACTTAAAAACTAAAAACTAAAAACAATTCATATGAGTCTGAATAACAATCATATCACATGTATTGTAGCCTAGAGTAACTTTTGAGTATTCAATAATTTCGTTTTTCTTGAAACCAGTGAATATGTCTTCTGTTAGAAAAAAGAGAAATTACACTGATATTATCTATCAACTGTTTGACTAAGTTATTTTGTTTTATTAAACTAACTGTATAAAATATTGAATAAACATACGATTTAATTTGTTAATTTTGTATTCTTCAATAAAAATTGAACATGTAATAAATAACTCTGACACTATATTGCATGAAATACAAATGTCTACGTGACAATTCATAAAAAACATGAAAAAATAGGTCAAGTATATAATAAATAATCTTCGACACTACGGGGTGCCTGAGAAAATAGTCAACATCATACGGAATTCTTATGATGGATTCAACTGCAAAATCGTGCACGGAGGACAGCTAACCGACTCTTTCGAGGTGAAGACCGGTGTGAGGCAAGGTTGCTTACTCTCACCCTTTCTCTTTCTCCTGGTCATCGACTGGATTATGAAAACGTCAACATCTGGAGAGAAGCACGGTATCAACTGGACAGTTAGGACGCAGCTGGACGATCTGGACTTCGCAGATGATCTGGCTCTTCTATCGCACACTCAACAACAAATGCAAGAGAAGACGACCAGTGTAGCAGCAGCCTCTACAGCAGTAGGTCTCAACATACATAAAGGAAAAAGCAAAATTCTCCGATGCAACACAACATGCACCAATCAAATCACTCTTGATGGAGATGCCTTGGAGGACATTAACACCTTTACATATCTGGGCAGCATCATCGACAAGAAAGGTGGATCGGATGCAGATGTGAGGGCACGGATTGGCAAAGCAAGGGCTGCATTTCTACAGTTGAAAAATATCTGGAACTCCAAACAACTTTCAAACAAAACCAAAATCAGGATTTTCAATACAAATGTGAAGACAGTTCTACTCTATGGAGCCGAAACATGGAGAACTACCAAAGCCATCACCCAGAAGATACAAGTGTTTATTAACAGCTGTCTACGTAAAATACTTCGTA